TACAGTTTTGTTTCGCCTCCAGGCTATGTGTGCTCCACCTTTGGAGGGTTCGTTGAACAAGTTGAAGGTTCAAGGAGGGACTAAGCAGCAAGCAAGAATCCGGTTGACAGCCTCAGACCAGCAACAAGAAAGCTATTCGCTGGTTGAAACGGAAACTGAGGGGCACCCTCAACATGGGTGGTTTCGCTTTTGGATTCCCTCTAGAACCAACCAAAGGGGGGGGTTCCCAAGAAACACACACACACACTCATATGGGCTTGTCTTTTTAATAGGGAACCCCTTCAAATGTGGGCTGGCGTCCCCTTTTTCTCAGCCCAAAAAAGGGCACCTGTTAAACAAACGCAGAGAGAGATGTGTTTTTTTCCTGCTCCAGTTGGGTCCTTCATTCGTTCCGCCCGGCGCGCCTGACCGGACCGGTTTCGCGCACCTCCCTGGGGTTTCGGGGAGCCGAGTTTGCTCTTCTTCCTGTGCCTGGGCCTTTCACAGCTGCTGCTGCTTTGGGTCTGCCCTGGGCCTCGGACTGTCAGATGACCCGCCGTCCGAGCGAAAAAAGAGGAAGACGAAGTGGGGTTTCCAACTCAAACGCCGCGGAATCAAGTCAGACAAGTGCCTGGAGCTGGTCTTTTGCCTTTGGGAATGAACTGATGTCAAATGCCATGAAAAATCCACATGTTTTCAGGCTCCTGGAAACAAGTGCCTCGTTGATTCTTGGCATGAGACAGGGTTTCCGAGCCATTTCCCTCCAAAAGTGGCGATCGTTTCAATGGACACCAGCAAATTGATCAATGGAAGCGGTCGGAATCTCCAAGTCGCAGCCGAAAATCCAGTGATTCGTCTCGCTTCTGAAACCGCTCGCTACGTTTCACTTGGAAAAAGCATATGTCTTTTATTTTCCAAATTATTTTCCAAATGTCTATTAATTTCCAAAAACAAGGCTTCGCCGCGCGAACCGGCGTTGAGGTTTTTGGCACGTTGAGGTTTTTGGCACGTTCTGAAAGAATGTGTAAGTGCAAAAAACATCAAGGCAGATTCAAGCGGCGGCCTAGAAACAAACCCTCCCCAGCACTGAGGGCGGCGCTTTTGTTCATGCTTTCTAAGGGTTTAAAGATGGCAACGCAGCCCACAGATCCTTGCCTGCGTTCATGCGCCATTGCCATGAAAAAACGTATTCATGAAGAGCTGGATTCACCAGCTTGCTTCCCACATGTTTTGCCTGAACTTCTCGCGGCAAGTATTCTTTTAATCGACGCCAGCATGAGTCCAGAGCCTGCGTTCCAGCGACTTTTGTGCGGCCTCCCGTGCAGAAATGGCAGCTGAACTCCATAAGGCAATGTCGAACCTGGAAGAACTCAAGACCTGCGTCTTCACATGCACTGCGCCAGCTGCGAGCACCATCCCCGTAGACAGTGGCCCCTGGCCTGACTTTGGAAATCAAGTCAGAAGACATCACATCTAAACTGCTTTCGGTAGGTGGCCTTGCCGATGGCTTCAACAACACGTATGGCAAAGGTGACATCAGAATCTTGCCAGTAGAGCCGCGTTCTTTGGCTCCTCCGATTCTGACGTGCACATCAAACCATGGTGGCAGAGCCTGCTGTCCATGCCGTTCCTGCCAAGCCCGAATAGGGACAGCCCAAGATGGATTCGATTTGCTTATGTGCAGTTTTCTGATTGTTGTTGCGTCCACTTCTATCTGGCCCTTGAGGCGCAACTGCTCCAGCTGAAGTCTGCCTTGGCGGGCTTCTAAGCCCCGAAGCTTTTGAAAAACCAGCATGGCACTTCCATGGAAAACCTGGAAAATTCGACAGCCTGCTTAAGACTCTGAGCCCGGATCAAAGCAGTGAACGCTTACCAGACATGGATGCTTACCAGACATGGATGCTTATCAGCCCCCCCCCCCGAACCCCCCCCCCCAACCCCCCCCCCACGCTGAAATGCAAGGAAAAACCAAGTGATTCATGCAAAAGTGTCAAAAACGGCTCAAAACTCCAGCGCCGGTTCCAACGGCGTACGCAAAAACAAGCCCCTCAAAAGTGGGTGGTGGCCACCCAAATGCTGTCCACCCAGCGGGTCCCTAGCTAGAATTGATATCCATATCATGTAGGTTGGGTGCAGGTGTGTCAAAATTAGGAGCCCTTCCGGCTGGGTGTTCCGTTTGCCCAAGTGTTCGCTGGCTTGATGCCACCAGGTGATCAGCTTGTATGTCCAGGTTCCATGGTACACGGGACGGGATAGAGGCCCCGATTCAAACATGGGCCCGGCCGGAAAGGCGAAGAGACGCTGTGTTTGAGTGAAGCCTTGGAGACCTTTGGATCACGCCCATGGATCTTCAAGCCTTTGGACCAAGTGGAGTTTCCCCGTGTGCGCATCATTCAGGCTTGGTAAGTTGGGAAAAGCCATAGGGAACCAACCCCAGTCATCCCACTTACCATGTTTGCAATCTACAAAGTGGCTTGAACATCCACAGCCATCATGTATGTACTGGATGGTGTTCCCTGCTTTCAACATTGCTAGTGACTTCCTCAAACTATCCTAGTTGTGGTTTAGCGGGAACCACCCCGCAAAAGATAGTTTAGAGCAACAAAAGCTCAACACCTACATCCGCTCCCTATCCTCTTAGGTTTGAACCAAGCGTGCTTGTGCCTTTTTCAGGGGACCCCCTCCAAATGGTGCTTCTCCTTTAATGCTCACCCCGTCCCATTATCAGGGGGGTGTTCCCTCCAAAAGTGGTCTGAGTCCCCACTAAAAGGGGACACCCCCAGATCAAAATCAACCAGGGGACACCGTCTCCCAGTAGTGCCCTTTTACCCTTTTCTGGGGAGGGTTCCCCCGCTAAAATAGACTACAGAAAAAATCGGGCACCCTTATTCTAACCTCTCAAATCTGGAGGACCTAGCCCATGGCACGCGTCAAAAGCAAATCGCGCCCAGTCGGAACTTCCTTCCTGGGCCACCTGTGCCAAAACCACATGCTCGTCTCTCCGGCCCAGATGGTGGCCTGGGCGCCAAGAGTCCCAAGAGGGATGGCATCCGTGGATGTGGAATTTCCCCCCCCCCCCCCCCATCTGGTTCAACTTTGGGTTGTTTAGTTGTTGTTCGGTGGCTTAAGAACGTAGAATTCCACGCTCATCCGGTTCAACTGAGGTTTTTCGTAGTTTTTTTTTTTGGGGGGGGGGGTTATTTGGTGGATTAGTGGTTGGGAACCCACTGAAAGTTGAAAGCTTTTAGCAGTGGATTTGAGGACAGCGTAGGTTTCGTCGACCCGGTTACCTCACACAAGGGCACAGTGCCATCGACTGCATCCTATATATCTGATATATCTCTAGGTCCCCCTGCAGTGCCCTTTTACCCTTTTTGGGGGGGAGGGTTCCCCTACTAAAATAGACTACAGAAAACAGGGTACCCTTATTCTCTCTACTGGAGGACCTAGATCTGGATCCCCGAATTCCTGCCCCGTTTCCTCGATTCTTCGCAGGTTCCCTTGAACACCCCAAAAGGGCCGTTGCTGTGGACGTGAAACTTTGGCCAACTTGTGGTCCTCGTCGCGAGTGTTTTTTGTTTCGGCGTCCCCGCATCGCTCGGGGGGTTGCTTCTCAGGCGACTTGTTCAAAGACTGACTTCTTGAGTTCCTGGACTTTCAACCTTTTGCGCAACAAGCACACGTGGAACCTCGTGGAACCCGAAATCTGCAAACCTATTGACTTAAAGGAAACTCCTCTTGCGGAACTTGTTCTTTCGAGGAAGCTCTCAAACTCTTTGTCCACTAAAATGGTCCAAACCCAAAAGCTTCGGTCGGAAAAACATATGGCGTTTCCAGTGGGAGCAACCCATGGAGATGTCTCATGACTGAGGCCGTGGGAATATCGAACAGCCCCCGAGACATGCTGGAGGTGGGCGGGAGGATGCTTTGTCTTGCGCGTGTAAAGGGAAGCCAGGAGCATATTTTCTTTACATGTGGTTCCACTCACCAAATATGGCAAGGAACAGATTGACTATATTTTGCTTCAAACTTTGTTTAGACTCACCAAATGTGGCTCGGAATCAAATTTTGTCAATTGCCGCCATCATTTCACAAACCGCGGATGCTGCTGCTGCTGCTGCTGCTGCTGCGGCTGCTGCTGCTGCTGCTGCTGCTGCTGCTGCTGCTGCTGCTGCTGCTGCTGCTTGCACCACCACCACTACCACCACCACCACCACAACCACCACCTGCACCACCTGCACCACCACCACCACCACAGCCAGCATCACCACCACCACCACCACCAGCACCACCACCACCGCCGCCGCCGCCACCACCACCACCACCTGCACCACCACCTGCACCACCACCTGTACCACCACCACCTGTACCACCACCACCTGTACCACCACCACCTGCACCACCACCTGTACCATCACCACCAACATCACCATCGCCACAACAAGAACTGGAAAGCTCCAGGTTTCAGGCTGGAGCTGTGGAAGTGTACTTTGAGTGCTACACACTGGAAAGTCACAATTGTGGAGCTGGTCAAACCGCCTTTCGTTGAGTTGCGAAGGGCCTGAGCAAAGAGACGACACATGTGTTGGTGCAACCAACGGTCAGAAGATTTTGGACATTGTGGACCTTCATTGACCCGCGTCTTGCGCAGAACGTCTTCAGTCCGACGAAAGACTCGTCGACCTTCCTGATGCTGGGCTTGAGGCAGGGGATCAAGCAGGGATCGAACGGGCGGAAAGCTGGGGGAACTGCTGAAATTCCCTGGGGTGCACAGGTTGATTTGTTGCTTTGTTCCGGAAGATGCCCTGCCTTTGACCGTTTGGAGAATACCCCAGCATGGAAGTACACAGAATGACTTTGGAAGACTGCTGTCGTCCTGAGAATGATTCCTGTGGCCTTTTCGTTGGTGGGAGGGTAGCGATGAAGAGGAAACCAATCTTCTTTTGGTGAACGGACTTCTTTTTTGGTTCCATGTTCCTTCCCTGCAACAACTTGGTTGCTCCGAAGAGGAGCCCCCCAAACAGACAAATTCCTCTACACAACTGGATTGTGGGTTCGTTCCACTCACTTCCCGAGTATGCGGACTTTAGGCAATTTTGAGAAGGCCATATTTTAGTAGCAACCAAAGGTCCAAAAACTTTCTCCAAAGACTTTCCTTGACCAATCCACTTGGTCAGAACCGAGGCTACAATTCTGGGGATGGAACGCCGCTTGGTTCGCAAACTGACCTCCAAGGGTTGTCTCCCTTTAAACCACTGTTAAGATGGTCATTTTGAGGATGTCACTATTCATGCAAGACCCGAGTGTATTCTGGAACCCCAAACGGGTTCCAGGAATTGGCTTCCAGCTTGCACCAAAGGACAATCATGTCGCATCCTACAAACCGGTTGTGTCCATTTGGCAAATTCGTTCGAACCCAATCACTCCTTGAGTTCTTGGACTTGAAACTTTTCGGTTTGCACCGTTTTAGTGGTAAACAACCAGTTTGGCTCTTTGTTGTTTGGGCCATCAGGAAGTCTGCGCCCAAGTCAAGCTGTTAAGCTGGGGTCGAAGCTTATAAAAGGTCCGAAGGAGGAAAACAGTGGTGTGCCCAGGGAGGCGATGCAGGGCATGAGCATCACCAACTTCTGCGAGACCATGCCCTACGCAGACGCGCGGCCCGGCTTTTTCTAGGTCCCCCAGCTAGGTGCCCTTTTACCGATTCTGTATGAAAACCCCGACTTTGGAAATTGAGCCATCTACTTTCAGCAGAATGTAGTCCTTACTTTCTGCGAGGTGCCAGGGGAATCACGGTGGAAGTCATGCCTGTAGGCATGACGGGATTCCCACTTTATCTCAGAAAGGACAAATAGCCATGAACCCATCCCCGAGTCTAACATCGAAGATGAACGCGTCGCGGGCTATGAAGGTGCCAAGGAACAGGGATCGATCTAAACTTCGATTCATTGTTTGCCTTTGACCTACAGTGGACACCCTCGTGGGGGGAGGGGGTTGCTGTTCTTTCCTCCAGAAAAGGAAGAGGGGGTGGGGGTAGGGTGGCAAGCAGCAGCCCCACTATGTTTCCCTGTTTGTACCTACCACTGGATATATTTTGTTTCAGGGGTCAGGGGACTGAATGGAAGAAAGAAGTGACTGGCCATGTTTTGCACTCTTTCAGTCATTCGCTTCTGGGTGGATAAGAGCAACAGGTAAGTCGTACAGGGGATGACATGTCGGACACTCATCAAACTACCACGAGGAAATGGGGGTTACTCACCAAAATCCCATGTCATTGAGGGTGAAAGTATTCAGGGCTGATCCACCTTAATCATGATCCTTTGCAAAAGTGGTTTAGCCACTTACAGACTATTCAGTCAATTGCACAAATTTGGGAGTTGTAGTCGATGCTTAGAATTGCCGGACAATGGTGGATGGTTTCCCCTTCTGTGGATATTCTTCGGCATCTTCCCGACTTTGTTTCAAGAACCCGTTGGGAACACTTAGAGATCCGCGGGGAACCCGTTTTCCGCAGGGTTTAAAAACAAAAAAAATAAGAGAGGCAGCTGGATCTTCGTTGGGCAAAGGTACCTCTTCGACATTTGGATGGGCACCTTCCTTCTAATGATCAGCCAGTCGATCATGGCCACTTGGAGCAAGATTGGGAGAAAAGGACTTCCCCATCCCTCCCGTTCCTTTTGCTTTGCCATTGGCTGAGTAAAATTGGTGGAGAAAAAACACTTCAGCCCTCCCACTTCGTTTGCCATGGGCTGATTCCAGTCAGTCGCTTCAACCATCGTTCTTTGCAAAGATTGTTGGAGGTTTTCTGGAAGAAGCGATCCCAAGAAGAGAAGTGCGCCCCTTTCACTGGAGATCTTGTTCAGGCCAAGGCGTGCAGACAGTTAAAAGAGAAAACATGTGCCTTATTGAGGTTGTACCCTCGTGTTCGTTGTGAGGATGTTGCAAGTGTCGTCGAATGATTGATTTCGGGCCATAGCAAGCGGAGCCATAGGACAAAAGGCCCTCGATTGTTCATACTGGGCCCCCAATAGTACCCTTTTACCTTTTTTGGGGGGAGGGTTCCCCTACTAAAATAGACTACAGAAAAAAGGGTACCCTTATTCCAACCTCTCTACTGGAGGATCTAGCCATAATGGGCCCTACCAGTCACCAATAGTCAGTGACAGTCACTACTTGACTTGCAATAGCTCCCCTTACAAAGGCTCTGAATCTGTTGCATCCCATTGCGACGAGAAGAACGGCTTCTTTCACTCCATGACCAATTTGCGGCCTAAGTGCTGAACACTGGCTTTCCAGTGGCGTTTTTTGGCCGGGGAGCCAAAAGTCAGTTACAACTTAGTTGGTGGGTTGGATTGGTGGTTTGCGAGTTTGAACCCAAAAGGAGAGATTAGCTATCCTCCTTGTTCCAACGGTCACACCCAAATAGGGGTATTTTGTTCACAACAGTTTTCCTCTACATGAACCAGCAGTTCAAATCCCCAATCCCCAATCCAAACCACCCAAAGAGTACCCCTGTCCACGTCGCCATGAAACCTTACTAAGGGGTCCTGGTTACGAGTTTCCGTCAGGGAGTGGGCTATTAGACAGGAGCATTGGTGTCCTTTTGATCGGTTAGTTTTGTTGAACATAGATGGGTTCCACTGTTTTGGTTTTGCTCCATTTAACAGAACAATCCATCTGTTTTCAACCAAAACACCCATGACAGGGATCGAACTGAACCTCCATTCATGCTTTGCCTTTGATCCGCGACAGAGTAGACCCCCTCTGGGCCATTCGTTCCCCCAAGAAAATGGATCGTAGCTGAGAAACGGCTAAGCTTCCATTCATCGTTTGACCCATCTATGTTCAACCAAAAAGACACCTATGATGGACGAAATCCTGCACCACCTCAGAAGCTTTGGCATGATGACTTCCCCCCCTGTAAATACCAACAAATAGGGGTTTCCCATGGTTTCCTTTCGTGGTGCGAACAGATTTCGCAACCATCCACAGCATGATGAATGAATCAACTTGGATTCCAACTATTTGTGGTGGTGCGAACGTGTTGCGAAATACTGATCATGCAAACTGTGGTGGTGAGAACAACACCAAACTGTGGATTCAGTGGTCCAAATCAATTTGCTGTTTTTTAGGGTTTCCCATGGTTTCATTTCGCGAACGGATTTCGCAACCATCCACAGTAATCAACTTGGATTCTTGTTTGGATATACCTACCACTGGATATAATTTGTTTCATGGGTCAGGGGACTGAATGGAAGAATGAAGTGACTGGCCATGTTTAGCATCCTTTGAAGTGAACCAGCGATTCGGACTCCAACTCTACGGCCGAACCATGGCGAAGCGGCGTGGCGAAGTGGCGTGGCGAAGCGGCGCAGTTGGAAGGCCGTGGCGCTGCGCGGTGAGAAGCAGCGCGTGGCGGTGCACGAAGAGCTCGAGGCGGGGGATCGCGCCCTTATCGTGTTGACTTGTGTTGGTTTTGTTTAATATAATATTAATTGTGTGTGTGTGTGCTGTTTTAATTGTGTGTGTGTGTGTGATTATGATGATTATGATGATTATTATTATTATTATTATTAGTTGTTTATTTATGTTTTTGTATGTGTGTGTGTTTTGTTCAAAGGGAAGTTTGTTCTCTTCTTTTTTTGGTGTGTGTGTGTGTGTGTTTTTTTTGTTCAAAGGTAAACCAACAGGCAAAACACGTGATTTTGGGAGTGTTCGTTTGTTTTTTTGGAGGGTACACCCTTTTTTGTGGCATTGTGAAAGGGAATCAGCCGGAAACAGCATGCAATATCCTAGAAACCAGTTATATGTGTTGCTTGTCGGATTTGTTGGAACCCACTCATTCTCTTAGTTCCGTTTCGGACTTTAGTCACTTTTTGGGTTTGGACCATTTTGGTGGCAAGCAAATAACATGTGGTTGCCCTTCTGTGGCCATCCACTCACGAATTGAGGAAACCAACAGGGACAAACCCGATTTTGGGGAGTGTCTTTGTTGAAGGTTCCCTTTTTTGTTGTGGTTTTACTGGTAAACTAACAGCCAGATGCCATGCTCTTTCTTTTGGGGGCGGGGGCAAAAAAGAAAGGGAGACAAAGAGGGAAGACCGAATCCATGTTTATTTATTTTTTTTGGCGGGGGGGGGGGGTGTTTGGGGGCAATTCTTCCCCATGAATTTAGGGCTACCGAATAAACTAGGGGTTCATGTGCCGGGTTTGTGGGGTGTAAACAGGCAGCCTTCCTTCGCCTTGCGAAGAGGGTCTGCATTTCCAACCTAGGGCAAGCTCGCTGGGGTAAAAGGAGCTCGCATGGCGAGGGGTACTGGGATCCCATTTGGCCGTGGGGCAAAGCCAATGGTATCCCATTTTGGGGTAGGTGCACCACCCAATTTGAGTTGGGATTGGGATGTTCACTGGGGGTACGGGCTTTTGACCCAACGGAAACCCACAGGTAGTGGGTTGAAGTCGAGCGGGGGAAACCCACCCAAGAGTTGAAAGGGGGCGTCCTTGCTGGAAATCTTGATATGGAACTCTAACTTTGTGGATTGGCCTCCGAATTAACATGGTGCGATGCACAGTTGCTCCTGGAAAATGGCTGGTCTTTTGTAGGACCTTAGCCACTTAGACCTTTTGGAAAGTAACCTTCTGCTCAGGTGGGAAGAGCATCCAAGTGTTGGAAGACTGCTTCACTTTTTGAAGAGGGGCATTTGTGCACCCAGCCGCCTTCATGGGAGGTCCATGCGGACCGTCGTGATATCAGAGAAAATCGCCTCAAGTGGATCACTAGGATACAACCATGATTCGTATGGTCCTCCTTTGATTCATCCAAAGTTGACGGTAGAAGCTGTTTGAGTGCCTTCTTTCAAGGCAGGCGATCTCTACGTGTTTGCCATTTGACAGGGGTCACTAGATTGACCCATGTTTCTTTTTCGCATGGAGGGAATATGAGCTTTGCTCCAATTTTCCAGCCGTCTTTGGTTTCAATTTGGGGTTTTACATGTGTGGACTATCTAGAGCCTGGAACCCTCTAAAATTATGCTGTTCATTGCGGCCAGCACGTACCATGGCCTTGGTTCAGGCAGATACTGTAAATGGAATCCGGTCCAGTTTTCCGTGCAGGGTTCCAAGTCGGGGGTCATTTCCCTTGAGCCTACAGTGGGCTGTGACAAATTGGGCCTACATCGTTGACAGCCAATGTCATCCTTAATTAGTTTCCGTGTTTAACCTGTCCGGAGTCCCCTCCCCCCCACAACAAAGATTAAGAAGTACATCTCAGCACAAAATAGCAGAAACAACGGCATTAGGCCCTTCAGGCTGCGGGAGAAACCAAACAAGAAAGACCAGCGGTCACAACACAAATGTGTGTTTCCAATGGGGGGACGATGGGCCATCTGAAATGGGGGGTTGCATTTTGGGAATGGCCGTGGAAAGCCCGAAATCGGTGTCCATTCTTTCGCCATCCAAAGAGAGTGTCCCTTTTTATCGAGCTGTACTTCCCCCATTATTTTCATGCATCTGTCTTGTCAACAGCTCGGTGAATGACGGCACTTGGTCTGAGCCTCTTCGCAGGATGACTACGGGCGCCCTGGTATCGATGTGTCCCCTGTGGGCTGGAGCCGGAACCGACATTGCGTTTCTACATTATTTTTCTTCGAGAGGGAGAAGATGTCTGTTTCTTTTCGGGGTACATGTTGCTAAAGCAACATAAGATACACCCTGTCGTGTGACGATGGCATCCACTAGGGGCAGAAGAGGTGATCTTTGCGGCTGGCAAAAGATGAAAGATTGTGGATGTTTTGCTCGGACCCGCCGGTAGTTCTATGCATGTTCACGAGAAGACTTTCAGGCTTTAACCACCACAAACGCACTATGTTGTGGCCAAAGGGGCTCAGTACTTCATGAGGAATGCAGGATTGTTCAGCCTCTTTTGAAATGTCTAGATGTGTTTACTGCTTGCCCTTGTTTAGGCTATGAACACTCATCTTCCATTTGCTCCAACGCCAATGTCTGAGGCGCACGCAAACTTTTCGGGTACCCTTGATGGGGTGGTTTGACAAGGCCGCCAAAGGCAAAATCATGTTTGTTTGTTTTGTTGGGGGGGTTATTTTCACCTGCTGGAGTCCTTGCGTTTGTCCATCTTGGTCAAGGTCCCAGGAGGAGCACAGCGGATTTCTTGGGCACTTGATTGGGTACACATCAATGATTCCGGCCAGACGGCTTCACGGATTCCGGAACAAAGTTATGGATATTCCATTTGCTTCGTATGTTTTGTATTTTCCCTTGCTGGTTTCAAAAGGGCATCTATCTGTGCTGGATATACATATGTATACATTTATATGTGTTTGTTCTTTTCCAGAGAGCGAACAAAAACAGGTCCCAGGAGGATAACAGCGGATTTCTTGGGCACCTGATTGGGTACAAATCAATGCTTCCGGCCAGATGGTTTCACGGATTCCAGAACGGAGTTATGGATCTTCCATTTGCTCCGTATGTCACGTATGTTTTGTATTTTTCCTTGCTGGTTTCAAAGGGCTGCCAAAAATATGTTTACTAGTGGACAAACTATTAAAACTGTTTTGAACAGAAAATGTTTAGTCACTAGTAACTTGCAATCGTACAATTAATTTTACAATGATGATTCAATAAAAGCACATTAGTGCTTCTCTGACTGGATATAAATATATACATACATGTATAAATACAGTTGCATGTATATATATATATATATAGATATGCATATATGTTGTTGATTTTTTTCAAGTGGGCAAACAAGCAAAGGAACATAGCCTAGCGGTGCGTCGCCTTTTGGGTTGAATGGCTGAGGACGATGGCCGGAGAGGCGCGGAAAAGGAAAGCGAAAGTGGGTGAGATGTCAAGCTCTTCATTAGTGGTTTCCGGTGATAGCTTTACATTCTTTCATTTGACCATTAGGAAAGCCAAAACAAATGACTTTCACTCGGGCAAAGTTGCACCCATGGTCAAACCTAAATATTGATCAAGCCCCAAATGAAAGACTTCCACAGCCCACCCCCCAGTCCTAAACCGTGGCTGATTCATTTGGGAATAGCATTACCTGTTATCAAAGACTTCCACATGACCCTTGGAGCATCATCACGACGAACAATTCCCTTGGAATTTGCTTGAAGGGAACAATAAGTTATAGGGGTTATGACTCCTACTACCGTGGATTGACGAAATGATGCACCGCTTCAAAGTCATGGTTGAAACCACTGTTTGTTGGTATTTACTGGGGAATCGAATCATTCTATGGTTGCTCAGGTGATGCAAAATGGATTTCGTCCATCCACAGTCAGTATAAATGGGGGATGTTCCCTCCAAAAGTGATGAATCCCCACTGAAAGGGGACACCCCCTGTTAATCAACCAGGGGTTCATTAATTTGGGGTCAACATAAGCTGCACCGAATTCCTGGTTTCTTGGACTTTAAGCTGTTTGGGTTTGGACCATTCCAGTGGTACACAAAAGCCTTAGACTATTTTCTGGCCTGTCCATTCAGGAATGTGGGATTCTGATCAGGGATCCTTCTCTCCGGAAAAACTGGGCCAAAGCCCAAAGCTTTTGTTTCTCCTTTGTGAAGAGAACGATGTGTGAAGAGAATCTTACCTCTTAAAAACACAACTTTTCAACTTTTTGGGGGTAACATGGGCTATATGGCTGAAGATTAACTTCCCCAGCGCTTGGAGTTTTAAGGGTAAAGGAATGGAAGCGAAATGAGCGCAGGCCGTTCAGGGGCTGCTGAAGAACCGCGTCGCCGTCGGAGTCTGAGAGCTTCCGGGGGGGATGTTTAATGCATGGGCAAGCGTTCACTTGGGTGAGTTTTTGCGAGGGCGCCCCAAATTGGGAGTTGGTTTTGGGCAAGACTCAAAGGAACATCGCCATTGGTTATTTTTCCTTTTTTGGGGTGGATTGGTCCGGGACCCCATTTTGACACATACCCACCTGCTTCAATCAGAAGATATCCAGTCTATGGTCCACTTGGGAGGGAAAACCATGTTAGATCTTAGTGTACATCGGGGTAGACCAGAGGTGGAACATCGGTATAGTGGACACGGGTTGCTCGGGTAGAGCATTAGCTTTCCCCCCTTGCGCCCGGGTGGAAGCGGGTTGGCGGGTTGGGGCCAAAAAATTCGGCGCTCTGCGCCCAGGGCTCGAAGGACAAGCGCGACTTTTGACCCTTCTTGGTGTTCCTGGTCCAATGTTTGCCTCATGCAGAGACCTTGGTTCCAAGTGTTATCTATTTGTGACATGAAACAGCACGTTTTTTCACTCTCAGAATTCGTTGGTGAGGTGCTCAGACCAACTGTGCCATGGTTGAACTGTTGTTTTTCATGGTCATGACTTAGCTTGGTTTTAGGGTACCCCACACAAACAAACGTAATTCTCCCCTTTTCGGATTGGTCAAAGAGAGCCTCCTCCTCGGCTCTCCGAAATCACCCTTGGATTGTCTCTTTGGTGTTCAGGTCGCACTCCAGAATCGTCCTGACAAAAACACTCTGCCAACAGCCTATGGCGACTAAAAGAAACAAGCAAACACACAAAAACACACCCACACACACATGTCTATCTCTTCTTCGTGGTTCCGTGGCCGGTTTTTTCTTCTCCGAAGCTCTGCCTGGCGTCTTGGCCCCGTTTCCCTTGAGGTCTCGGGCATCGCCACGGCGGTGGCGGGGCCGGCGGTGGGCGGGCTCCTGGGCGCCGGCATGCAGGCGATCGATGGGTTTCGACGGGTTTCGGTCGGTTTCGCTTCGCTTCGGGGAAGAGATGGGCGGCTGTAAAAATGGGGGGACATGGACATTGTGTGTCAACACTCTGGGTCGACTTCTCCAGTAGGGTCAGTTTCTTTATTCTCTTTCGACGGCAAAACAGAAACCCTTTGCAAATGGCGGTTGAAAGTTGAAAGGCGAAACCGAAGCAAAGTAGTTCTGAGAAGCCCTAAAACTGCCAAGCCTAGGTTTGCAGCAACGACCGTTTGGCCTCATACCGACAGCGAACAAAAGCCGTTTGGCGGGGCACAGAGATTGCCTCGCAAGCGCCTCGACCAGCCATCCGGTTCAACTTAGGTCTTGAGTTGTTGGTGGGTTTAGTGGTTGTGTGGCCGAATTTAGCCCACAAGTTGAACACTTTTACCAGGGGATCTGGGAACAAAACAGTGCAGAGTAGTGCTTATTCATGGTAGAATGCTACTAAAGGATTACTGAGAGGGGTCTTTTTTGAATGAATGGCAGCACGAAAAGGCAACCTTCCAAGAAAAGGCAATGAACAGGAAATGAAAAGGGCAAGCAAATCACGAACCCGTTTGCAAGGCCACCAGCACGTCATTGCGGCCTTTCCAAAACAGGTTGGTCCTGTTTTTTTTTTTTTTCAGGGGAAGGAAACGAGGAAGAAAAGAGTGGGGAAAAGGAGGGGAAGAACAAGTCCAGAAATTCCGGTCCACTCAGCGCCCAGCGTCTTTTTTTGCGCGACCGCTTGCCAAAGAACGTGGTAATTGACGGGCCATTGACGTGGAAGGCAAGCAGGGAGATTCCTCTAGATAAGCCAGCAGATTTGTCGGTGGCTGTCCACGTGCTTGATCCAAGTGCAAATTTGCCGAAGGGGCATCATTGTGCGCGGACCATTGGAGAATATAGCTAAGATGCCAGAAGAATGTTTCTGCTGGCATCCCTGTCAATAACACGTAGTTGGGTAAGTTCTTCAACTGAGGTCACAACCGCCTTGGCGTTGGTATGGTTAGCCGAGATGCATGAACCATGTCACAATGGCACTATGTCAAAGTTCCTAAGGGCCATTTGGGTGTGTTTGTTTCAGGGGTCCTGGTGTTTCCTTTAGTTTTGCTATAGAAACCAACCAAACAGGGGAACCCTAGAAAAAGACACCAATTTAAGTTAAAGTGAGCGTCCTTGTGGTTGGGTGATTTCTTTCAGGGAGAACTTGGGGGAGCCAGTTGCTGCTTGGATTGGTTAAGCCAAAGGAAAGCCACACATGGGTATGACCTTTATTTGGGAATCCTGAAAAGTAAACATCACGCACGGTGGGGGTTTGTTTGTGTCCGCCAACCATTGTTTTTCAGGAATTCCCTAGTTCACAGAGAAAAAACAGGTCCGACTTTTATAGACCATTGGCCAAACCCCGCGGTGCACACATAAGCGTTGTGTAATTCGTTGCATTGAGCTACTGGCAACGATAGACTGCAGAACTTGAGTCAAAATGCGCCAGTTGGACAGCTGGGACGGTCCTCAAGACCCAACCAAGGATCTTCTGTTGCATGGGTGTGTCCTAGGATTTACACCCTAATTCTTTCAAACAGGGGTCCCCAAGTTACATATGTTTATTCTTAGCTTTGTGTCTGGCAGATTCAAATACGCCCATAAGAACGAAGCTACGCCATGAAGGTTGATGTTCACTTGCCCAGTGGCGATGTTTGCTCCATAGAAGCTTCACCGACGACACTCATCAGCAAGCCGGCGCAGCAGCATTTCCAGCGCCGCTTGAAGCTCACTGCAAAAGGCCAGCAGCTCGAATTGACTGCCACTCAGCGAGGCCGGGTTTCAAGATGGGGACGTGGTGGCTGCTGTTGTGCTGCTGGGCAAACTGGCTGCCACCTGCAAGGCGTTCGCTTGGCATGGCCGGCGCGAGGTTGTGACCTGGGGCGATGCAGACTATGGCGGAGACAGTGTCGCCAACAACGCACGATAGACTTCAAAAGTTGTGAAGCTTCATGGGGAACTCATTCTAAGGCCCCACAAGTCACAAGACTTGTCTTTCTACAAGTTCCACTATCAATTTGAAAGGTCTGCGCTGGTAGACTTTTCCTTTTAAGGTTCTACTTGTCACGCTATCAGATTGAAAGCTTTTGCAGGTTGGGTAGGCTTTCCGTTTCGCGCGACAGTCTCAGAGATTTGCTAGTTCCCCAAACGCGGAACTAGCAAGCCTGGTTGGGGGTTGACTTCCTTGCGAAGATGGCAGGATGCACCCCCTAACAGGCTTGCTAGTTCCGGAAACGGAGGAACTAGCAAATGTCTGAAACGGTCAAAAAAGCTGTGAAGCTTCATGGGGAACTCATTCTAAGGCCCCACAGAGTCACAAGACTTGTCTTTCTGCAAGCTCCACTATCAAACTTGAAAGGTCTGTGCTGGTAGACTTGTCCTTTGCTCCGGAAACTGTTGCCAGCCAGGCGCAAGTCCAGCGCATCCAAGCAACTGTAAATGGTGCGTTTGCTGCCATTCTTGCATCTGGGCTGTTGTGACCTGGGGTGATCCACGAGATGGTGGAGACAGCAGGCAGGTGCAAGACAAGCTTTGGAATGTCCAGCAAATCCAAGCAACTGCCGGTGCTTTTGCTGCCATTCTTGAATCTGGGGCTGTTGTGATCCAGTATACGGCGGGGACAACAGCAAGGTGCAAGACCAGCTGAGGAACGTGCAGAACATCCAAGCAACTGTTTGCGCTTTTGCTGCCATTCTTATATCTGGGCAGTTGTGACCTGGGGTGATCCACACGTGGGTGGAAACAGCAGCCAGGTGCAAGACCTGAGCAAGGTCCAGAATCCAAGCAGCTGTTTGTGCGTTTGCTGCCGTTCTTGAATGTGGGGCTGTTGTGAGCTGGGGGGATCCACAAGCTGGCGGAGACAGCAGCCAGGTGCAAGACCAGCTGAGGAACGTCCAGCACATCCAAGAAACTCTAAATGGCGCGTTTGCTGCCATTCTTGGGGTGAAGCAGAGTGTGGCGGAGACAGCAGCCAGGTGCAAGAACAGCTGAGGTTGTAGTATTGCGCTGTTCTAGCATGGACGGCACAAATCATTCCGGATGCAAAAAGCAGGTTATTTCAGTTGGGTTCAGCATCCAAAGCGGCTTAAAGGTAGGGTTTGGCGCTTTTCTTTCACTAGTGCGATGTCAAAACACTGGACACGAGATTGGATGCGCCAAATCCGATCCTGGGTGGCCAGTACCCTTGCGAACTCGTGAAACCGAAGCCTGGCATTTTGTTGTTTCTTTTTTGCTTAGCCGTTCATCGAAAGTATCCATCCGCAAAGCTTGGCGTGGTTGGGATGGGTTGGTGGGTTGGGGTGGTTGCGGGTGCTGTTGTCCTGTTGTTCCTGGCCGAATTGAACTCTTGTGCATTCAACACGCTTGGCTTTCGGAGTCTCTTTGGGCGGAGGTTCAGGAGGTTCACTGGTGACATGTCCAGGCTGTGCAGTTGGAGGAATATGGGGCCCCACATCGCCCACCGCACTCCGCATTTGTCAAGTTGGGGTGAAACGGGCAAGAGTAAGAAGCCAAGAAACCATGCTAATGTTGACCCAGGATAAATAAACCCGTCCTATTATTAGGGGAGTGTTCCCTCTAAGAGTGGTCTGAATCCCGTCAAAAGGGGACCCCCCCCATTAATCAACCAGGGGTTTCTTAATCCGGCTTAACATTAACAGGCCCAGACACTCTGCAGTGACCACGTCCCTCCAGGCGTACTCCACGGAGCAATCGGGCAGAAGCGTGGGGTTCTTTGGATAAAGGGCCAAAAGGCGGCGCGATGGGGTAGGGCTCTGAATTTTTGCGCTTCTGTCTGGAAGTCACTCTGAACCAAGGGTGAGAAGACGCATGGCCTTTTTTCGTTTGGTCTTGAATTCCATGTGGGATGGCCCCACCGGTGCGGAAGCTAAGTCGTACATTGCGGGGGACTTACTTAGCATCATTCATCCAGATTTGTCTCACACTTGGCAATGAACATGAATCCCTCGTGACCCTTACAGCATACGGCTAGGCAAATCTGCATCGCTCGTCACGAGCATGTCGCTTGCAGGTCGTTTGCTCGGCCTGCGCAATGCTTGCGCGTCGCCTCGCGTCGCCTCGCGTCGCTTGCGTTTTGCTCCGTGTCATTGGGGTGTCGCTTGCGTGTCGCCTGCGCGTCGCCCCGTGTGGCTTGCGTGTCGCTTGCGTGTCGCTTGCGTGTCGCCCTGTGTTACGCAGACTGAAAATGCTGCTTTTTGGGGCCCAAGCTTGCATCTCGCTCGTGTATCGCTTGTGTATCGTCCCGTGTCACGTACGTCTCGGCTAATGTCATTCGCGTGCCGCCTTGCGTCGTACTCGCTTTGCCTCGTGTCGCTTGCGTGTTGCCCAGTGTCGCCTTGCGTTGTCCCATGTTGCTTTTGCGGCAGATTTTCAGGAGCCGTTCCAGATTCAGGCTCGGAATGGGGTGGCAAACAAACGAACAATTCTTATGACTGCTGAGCTTGGAAAACGCTTAGTAGATGTAAATGCCATGAATGGACTGAGAATGGTTATTAATTTATTGGTATTGGAATTGAAATGTTATCGATTATAATCTAAATAATTTTAAATATATAATAATTTAGATTATTGGAAGGGGAATTAAAATACTTATTTATATAAAAATAATAATTCGAAATACAATATTAATATTATTATTTATTTTATTTATTGAAATTTAATTAAAATATATAAATTAATTTTATTTTGGAATTATATTCTTAATATATTTATAAAATGAAATTTTAGATATTATTTTATATATATATATAGAATTTAAATAATATTGAAATATATTGATTTTAATTTTAAGATACTTAACATTATTTTATTCTTTTATAAATTGGTATGGTTTTGAGATTGTACTTTTCATGTATTGGTAAGTCGTTGTAGTAGTATTTCGGCCGAATTGTCGTGTTTGTGGCGACTGGTTATGCTTGTGTCGGTCTTTTCTTCGTGGCACAAGTTCCCGCTTTTTCACGCGGCTTGGAAGGCGCCAAATTTTTGCGAAATTGTGGGCGGTGTTTAATAATTTTGCTTGGAATTTCCGTGGCATAATCCGGTTAAATTTTCCCGGCGGCGCGGTTTTTAGTTATTCCCACAAATTTCTTTAGAATTTTTTGAAAAAAAAATCGGACTAAATTTCGGGGAAATTTGAGGATTTGTCCGAATCGAAATTTCTCGAAAATTTCTTGCCGGGTGTTGCCGTATCTTTGCCTCTCTCTCTTTGTGGTTCGTAGTCTATTTCCGTGTGTCCGTATTTATTTGTTTCGTATTCTGTTTTTTTCTCTGTTTATTTTTGTATATCCTTGTGTATCCTAATCTGTTTCTTTTTGTTGTTTGCGCCTCTTTGTCTCTATTTGTTTGTTTGTGTCTCTCTGTCTCTTGGGTTGTCTCCGTTTGACTATGTGTCCGTATTTATCGTTCGTCTCCATTTGTTTATGTCTTTTTGTGTTTCTTTGTTTATTTCCGCGTGTCTGTATTTGTTTGATTGGTAATGTTTGTATATCCCTGTTTTTGTTTTTATCTTTCTGTCTGCGTTTGTTTTTGCGGGTTAAGTCACACAGATGACATATTTCTGCGTTGCCGCGTGCCGCATCTCCCTCTTTCCGCTTGCTTCTTTTCGTTTTGTCTTTCTTTTCGCTTCTGATTGTTGTTATTATTGTTTTTGCTTGTCTACCTGCTTCTTTCTTTTTCTTTTTTTTTCTCTTTCTTTGTTTCTCTCTCTCTTTCCTTGGTGCCATTTTATTGCCTATAGGATGAGGAATAGCTTGCTTAGGTCTTGCTGAGGCACTCTTGGGGAATTATTGCCTCTATTTCGGCCCTCTTGTTATGGGTCTCTTTCTCTCTCTCTCTCTTTCTCTTTCTTTTCTTTCTTTCTCTCTTTTATTCCCTCTTTCTTTATCTCTCTTTCTCTTTATTTCTCTCTCTCTCTCTCTCTTTTTTTCTCTCTTTCTTTCTCTCTTTCTTTCTCTCTTTTTATCTTTCTCTCTTTTTCTTTTTCTCTTTTTTTGTTTTATGTTGTTTTTCTTTTCCTCTTTATTGTTTTTATTGTTTTTGTTTTTTTTTGTTCTGTTTCCTTCTATGTTTTTCTTGGTGTTCCTTTCTTTTTCTTTCTTTTTTGATTTTTTAATTGGTATTGTGGTTGATGGAATTAACGTTTTTTAGATATAATAATAAAAAAGGGTAGATTATATATGTTTTATATTTAGCGGTTTTCAATTAATATATAATTTATTTATATTAAAAATATGTATTCTTTTTTTATTTAAAACTATGCTAGTAGAGCCGGCGAAGCCGGTGTGCGGAAGTGTTAAAAATATAAAAACTATAATTATCTTTATCTTTCTTTTCTTAACTCGTTTTCTCCGTCATTCTTCCTTTCTACCTTTGTTTGCTTCCTCCCTTCCTTCCTTCTTTCTATTTGTGTTTTCTTTCTTTATTTCGTTTGCTTGTTTATTTATCTTTCTCTACCTATCTATCTACCTAACTACTTATCTATCTATCTCTCGTGTTATCTATCTATCTGCTTATCTATCTGTCTATCTATGGCTCTATCTATCTTCTCTATCTATCTCTCTATCTCTTTGTCTTTCTCTGTCTATCTATCTATCTATCTTGCTCTTTCTCTATCTATCTATCTATCTATTTACCTCTCTGTCTATGTATCTATCTATTTATCTATTTATGTATTTCTCTATCCATCTAATTATCTATTTATCTATATCTCTATCTCTCTTTCTATCTATGTCTCGATCTATCTCTTTATCTATTTGTCTATTTATCTTCTGTTGGTTTATCTATCTAATTATTTATTTTTCCATATATCTCTCTATTTGTCTTTCTTTTTATCTTTTTATCTTTCTTTTTATCTTTTTATTTCTCTATCTCTCTTTATTTCTATTTATTTATCTCTTTATTTCTTTCTCTATCTATTTCTATTTATCTATCTATCCATTTATCTCTCCATCTATCTCCCGCATATCTATTTATCCATCTATTTATTTACTTATTTGGAGCTATTTCTTTATTTATTTATTTATGTATTTTTTTATGTTTTTATCTATCTACTTATTTATTTTGGTCTCTCTATCTATTTATTTATTTATTTATATATATTTCTAATTATCTATAGATTTATTTTTTATCTATCTCTTTATCTACTTTATCTACCTATTGATCTATCTCTCTCTATCTCTGTTTCTATCTATTTATTTATCTCTATTTATCTATATATATATATATCTATTTATTTGTTTGTCTATCTATTTGTCTGTTTATCATATTGTTTTCTATTGATTTATATCTATCTCTCTTTATATTTATCTATCTAGCTATTTATCTATTTATCTATTTATCTATCTACTTATTTATCTATTTATATTTTTTTTTCCTATATATTTGTCTTTTTTTCTCTCTTTCTATATTTTATATCTTTCTCTCTATTTATCTCTTTATCTCTCTCTGTTTGTTTATCTATTTACTTGCTTTCTCTCCCTCTTTCTATCTCTAGCTATCTATCTATCTCTCTCTTTCTTCATTTATTTTTCTATTTCTGTCTCTATTTCTTTCTATTTATCTCTCTAGCTATCTCTCTATCTATCTATCGATTTATTTATTTATTTATGTATTTCTCTGTCCATTTATTTACTTATCTATCTATATTTCTATCTCTTTTTCTATTTATTTGTCTATTTGTTTCTTTGTTTATTTATTTATTTATCTATTTATTTATTTATCTTTTGACGATTTTTTTCTCCTTTTTATTATTATTTATTTATATATATTTAGAAATATATATATATAATTGAATTTATTTACTTATCTAATTAATTATTTATTTATTTTCTTTATTTGTTTTTGTATTTACTTATTTCTCTAGTTATTATTATATTTATTTATCTATTTATTTCTCTATTTATTTATATATTTATTTATTTATCTTAATTTTCGCTAGCTTTTATTCATTTATCCGTGTATTTATCTATTTATCTATTTATTTACCTACTTCTTTTATTTATATCTTTTATCTATATCTTTATTAATTTATCTATGTTTATATTTATTTATCTATCGATTTCTCTTTCTATTTATCTACTTACCTACCTATCTATTTATCCTTCTATTTACATTTAGATTTATATTTATGCATATATATACATATGAATCTATTTGTTTATATGGAAAACTAATTGTTTGTCTACCTTTCTTTGTATTTATTTGTTTATCTCCTTATTTATCTATTTATTTACTTATTTATTTATCTATTTCTCTATATCTCTATCTATTTATTTATATATCTATTTATTTATCTATTTATCTATCTCTATTTTCTCTATCTTTTATCTGTTTATTTATCCGTTTATCTCTTTATTTATCTACTTACCTGTTTTATCCATATTTCTATTTATCTATTTGTCTATTTATCTATCTATTTATCTATACATGTATTTATCTCTCTCTATTTATCTATCTAATCTATCGATCTATCTATCTATTTATCGATCTATACCTAAACTAATGAAAATGCCGCGCTTGCCACGAAATCTGTATTTGACCTTGCGAAAGTGTTATGCCTGCCACGAATTTTGCACTTGACCTTGCGAAAGTGCTGCGCCTGCCACGAAATTTGTATTTGATCTTGCGAAAATGTTGCGCCTGCCACGAAATCTGCACCTGACCTTTCGAAAACGCAAACCTTGCGAAACCTCTGCGTTGCCGTGCCAATGGGCCCGGCGCTCCGATCAGAC